TGATGCATATTTAGTCAAGATCTAATGTAAGCCTTGCGAGTACTTCGGATGAGTACTCACGGTTGCTTTGCTACCTCTTTTTCCCCTATACCCGGTTGTTGCGATCAGATGGTGGATCCCAGGAGCTAGATGCCACCGCCGACGTCTACTACTACCCCGAGGGAGGCTACTACTACGTGGAGACCACCGACGACCAGGAGTAGTTAGGAGGTCCGAGGCAGGAGGCCTTGCCTTTTCGATCGCTGTTGCTTTTGTGCTAGCCTTATTAAGGCGGTCTTGTTTTACTTATGTCCATACTCAGATATTGTTGCTTCCACTAACTCTTGTGCTTTTGAGCTTATGTATTCGATCCCTCGAGGCCCCTGGCTTGTAATATGAAGCTTGTATTGTTTTAAACTGTGTCTAGAGTTGTGTTGTGATATCTTCCCGTGAGCCCCTGATCTTGATCGTACACATTTGTGTGTACGATTGAATCAGGGGCGTCACAATGTTAATGTAGATGATGGTCATGATGACTATCATAGAGGTTGAGGCTCATGATGCAGAACTTAATGATGGTATTGCCAAAGAAGGGGTCGATGATAATGCTACTGGTGGAGGTCATCATGTTGATATTGCCAATGAAGGTGATAATGCTAATACGGCTGATGATGATAATATTGTTGATGACATCAAATATCCTTTTTCCGTTTGATATATTTGATCCAAGAAATTGGGACGCACTTGACCTTAAAATGGTAGATGTCTTGGTGCAAAGGGGTCCTAAAAGAGACTCATCTATTCAGAAAATGGCTTGTGTACAACAAAGATCTTGACAAGGTATTTTGTTTTTGTTGTAATTATTAAGGAAAGGGCTCGTGAGAGAATAGTTAGCAAATGAAGGTTTCAGTGACTGGGCTCATCTTGGTCATAGACTTAAATAGCATGAAAATAGTAGAGAACATGTCACAAATATGACTACATGGTATGATTTGCGCCTTATGTTGGAGAAGAATCAAACAATTGACAAAGTTGCTCAGCGAGAACTTGAAAAGGAAAAGGAACATTGGAGAAAAGTTCTTTTTGTAGAACACAATATAGCATTATGTGGTAGTAATAGTAAGTTGTACCAAGACAACAATGGAAGTTTCTTAGGAGTTGTTCAAATGTTGGCTGAATTTGACCCAGTTATAAAAGAGCATGTTGACCGCATCACCAATGATAAAATTTGTGATCATTATCTTGGTCCCTCAAGATAGAATGAGTTAATCAATTTGCTCGCTGCTACAATCAAGCAGAAAATCATTGAGAAGGTAAAAGAAGCAAAGTACTTCTCAATTATACTTGACTGTACTCCTGATGCAAGCCACCAAGAACAAATGTCTTTGATAATTAGGTATGTTGATGCATCTTCATATTCTTTTTGCATTGAAGAATCCTTCTTAGGTTTTTTGGATGTGAATGATACCAGCGGGCTAGGATTGTTTGATGTTCTACAAAAGGAATTGATGAGTCTTGACCTTGATATGGACAATGTGAGAGGCCAGGGATATGATAATAGGTCGAATATGAAAGGGAATAAAATAAAGGAGTACAAAAAAAGTATTGGAAACAAACTGAAGAGCTTTATATTCAGCTTATGGTTGCCATAGTTTGAATTTGGCACTATGTGATATGGCAAAGTCTTATCGTAAAGCAACAAAAAAATTGGAGTTATCCAACGTATCTATACAATATTTGCTAATTCTACTAAGAGATGGAAAATTACCAAAGATAACATACTAGGATTGACTCTCAAGTCATTATCATCTACTCGTTGGGAGAGTTGTGTTGATAGTGTTCAGGCTATAAGGTTTCAGCTATCAGAAATAAGGGAGGCCTTACTACAAGTGGCTGAAAGTGATAAGGATTCTTCGACACAAAGTGAAGCTCAATCATTGGGGAAGAATGAACTTGGTGGCTTTGATTTTTTAGTATGAATCATCATTAGGTATGAAATAATATCAGTTGTTAATTTAATTAGCAAAGAGTTACAACCAAAGGATATGCTTATTGATATTGCAATTGAATATGTAAAAGGCTTGCTTTCCTTTTTCAATAAGTATAGAGAAAATGACTTTCCAAAAGCATTGGAAGTTGCAAAAAAATGCATTGGAGATGGATATTCATCAAGAGTTCCGCACCAAGTGTAAAATCAAAAAGAAAAGGCAATTTGATGAGGGTGAAGATGATGCATCTATTGATCCACAATCTGCAGAGGAGTCATTTAGGGTCAATTATTTTATACGTGTTGTTGACTCAAGCTATAACTTCACTTACCATTAGATTTGAACAATATGAGGGGTATCAAAAGATATTTGGTTTCTTATTTACTTCAGATAGGCTGCGATCACCAGATGACAAGAGTTTGATGGCTGCTTGTATTAATCTTGAAGATGCAGTTAAGAGTGGAGAACATACAGATATTGATGGACTTGAATTGCGTTGCGAACTAATTTTCATCCATGATTTACTTCATAAATCAATGGGCCCTCTTGACATTCTGAACTATTTGAAGAAGCGCTCCATAATCTATCATAATGTTGTTATTGCATACGGAATTTTTGTTGACCATTCCTGTGATGGTTGCATCTGCTGAAAGGAGTTTTTCTAAACTCAAGTTATTAAAGTCATACTTGCGGCTACTATGACACAAGAGAGACTTAATGGATTGGCGACAAATAGCACTTGAAAAGGATGTCTTGGAGAAGATAAAGTACGAAGATATGATTGAGGATTTTATTTCAAAAAATACTAGACGGATGCTCCTTTTTGGTAGAACATGAGGTTGGTTTATTGCTTTGCTATCCCTTTACCTTTTGAGCTTTAGTATTTGATCTATGCCTAAATAAGGTACAAATAAACAGATTTGAAATTATATAATAAAGTGAGAGTATGCTTTACGAATATTAGTTCTTTTGTTATGTGAATTGTTCGAAATTTTGGGCCACATTTTGTTTTTTCGCCCGGGGCCCCGAATTTCTGAAGACAGACCCGAGTATACTAGACTGTTGCCTAATTCTGAAATTAATTGCTTGCTAGTACTAACAGTTTTAATCATGATCAATATTCTGAAATTAATTGCGTAATTGGCTAATTCTTCAACAGAATTTGCCCAGCCGGACTGTGGATGCTGTTGATTATAAAGAAAAAAGATGTGGTGATGGGTCAGCTTCACTTTGTATTTAGCAGTCGGGCGGCCGGTGTAACGTATTGACGTGGTCCTTATTGTGTTGTATTGTGCTGTGGACATATAAATAGAGATACAGTCAGCATGCATGAGTGGAATTCATTATGACGATCGATGCAGCATCAGCAGCTAGCTAGTGGCCGGCGTTAATTCAATTAGTCCAAAAACGATCCTCATATCTTAGGGTGATTCATGATCACGATTACTACACTATATTTTTATACACACCTCCTAAAATAACCTTTGTGATTAAACATCCTGAATCAAAGTGCACACTAATTAACCCGTGTAGATGAAGGAAGAAATGAGAATTGTTCTTTTTTTTCCTGAAAATGAGGTTGAAACCCGGAGCATCTGCATTAGTGGATGCACAGAGTGAAAAGGAGGAGAAAATCAAGGAAAGAAAATGGTTATTAGAGCATGCAAGTTGTTGAAGAGACAGCTAGTGCGAAAGGAAGGCAGGCATGAATGGACAAACGGAGCAAGCTGGTTGTGCTTGCTTGGAAGCATCGGCTTCCGTCAAGGATGAGCAACGCAGCATGTGGAATGTGATTACTGGAAAGAAAGAAAGAAAGAAAGAGAGAAACCCGACAAACCCTCCTGAAAGATAGCCACCCGTTCCGTTTCCTTTTAACCGAATCACTGTATGTATCTTGGCTTTTGCTTAGCTGAATGAAGGCCTGGGTTCGAGTCTTCTCATTCTCCTATAAGAATAAGACAGGGGGCTTCTTTCTCTCTGTTCTCATTCTTCTTTTGCTTGGAACCGCTAGCTCGCTTTACGGCAACCTCAAAGCAACTTTGTATGCATGGGCCTGGGCCTGCCCAGCAGCGAAGCGGTCCATGC